GTTCCAACCCATAGCGACCCTGTACAGGGTTTCCGAGGGTGTAAATCCTTACGGGAGTAGAAAGCCTCATCTTTCTCCCGCGAAGCGGCTGGTAGTTTCGAACTGCTGACCTTAAGGTTTGCAGCCCGATTCGTAACCACTACGCTACCAGAGCTCCTTATGTATATGCATATGTATATGTATATGTATATATATGTATATGTATTTTCCCTAGTTGTTCCCTACTATTAAACTTGAAAAGGTTAAAAGACAACAAATAAGACACTTTGAAATTGATATATTTTCAGTAGTGTTCATTAGGCATCTCCAGGGTGGTGGGGCCAGTGCCTGAGTGGAGCAGAAAAGTTCAAGTTTCAAGTCCACACAGAGTTTCTTAAATGAAAGACGTGAAAATCTACTTCTAAAATAGCAACCCCTGAAGACTAAGAGGAAAACAGTTCCACTCTGGTAGCTATGGGTCTCTCATGAGTCAGAATGGATTCCAGGACATTTGAGTTAGGTGACTGGGAGTTGCTGAGCTCCTGAATTTACATCAAAGAAGAATAAACACAAGCACTACCCTGGTGGGGATTACAATATTGGAAAAGAGAGAAAATAAAAGTGTACTTGTTTAATTATAAAGTAAATTTAGCATTTATCTTAGGGATGAAGAACTAGAGAATTGCAAGATACAAACCCTTAATAAAGACTTTTTGAGGATGTGAACACTCTTCTGAAAATGAAAGAGAGGAAGAGATAGAAGGATTCAGTCAGACAAAACACCTTGGTAGGAAGATCCCAGCAAAAAGAAGAGTGAAAATAAAATTCATGAATTGGGAAAGGCTTCAATTATCCAAAAACATATTGAAAGAAAGAAAATTGAAGGAAGCAAGATAGATAAGAGAAGGTGATGAGAACCTTGTGAGAAAGACAAAAAAAGTATAAAATGATATTGGATAGGAAGAAAGAGCCAAGGAAACAAAGAAAAAAAATCTAATAAAAGGCTACCAGATCTTTATAAGAAAGAGGATGGAGCACAAAAGTCATTGGAGAGGTGTGCAGTAGGCATAGCACTGGAGTATCTTAAGTGGATTTGTATGCTTAAAAGATGCCTCTGGGTGTTGTGTGTGCAAGAGATTGGAGTGGTTGGGAAGGGTTAGAACTTGATGTATTTTTAGGGGGAAAAAAATTGTTCTTGTAATCGTCAACTAGTATTTGTTTTTTTCATCCAAAGTTTCTTCATGGCATTTTTCACCTCTGCATTCCTCAGGGTGTAGACCACAGGATTTAACATGGGTGAAACAATGTTAAAGGAAACAGCCATTGCCTTGTCTATGGGGTAAGTAGCCACAGGTCTCATGAATAAGAAGATACATGGCACAAAGAATAACATGATCACCATGAGGTGTGATCCACAGGTTGAGAAGGCTTTGTGTCGCCCTTCAGAGCTGTCAGACTTCAGGGAGCAGAGGATGAACATGTAGGAGATAATGAGGATAAGAAAAATGGCCACACACATCACCCCACTGTTAAGTATGACCAAGAGACCCAGGACATAAGTATCCATGCAGGCCAATTTCAATAATGGAAATAAATCACACATAAAGTGATCAATTATATTAGGACCACAGAAAGGTACTTGGTACATGAAGAGAAGCTGTATTGTTGCGTGCAGAGACCCTCCAACCCAGGCTCCTCCGACCAGCACATAGCACACACGAGGACTCATGATGGTCATGTAGTGTAGTGGTTTACAGATGGCCACATAGCGGTCATAGGCCATCA